TGAAGGGGTGGTGTACACACCTGATGTACAAATAGCAAAACTCTTCTCGGCTTTCCCCTGACTACATCTCTCTCCCCGCACAACCTTTCTCCATTCTTCAAACCAAAGTCTGCATCGTGTCGTGCACCTTAAATCTCTACACCGTGCCGAGTAGCGAGCACGTTCGTTGTCTGCAATGTGTGGTGCGTCTGTGGTCTACCTTCTCCACTGTGTTGTCGTGCACCTTAACTCGTCATCCGATGAACACACTCAGGCCCGGCCCTGAGGCGAGGCAAATGAGGCCACCGCCTCAGGCCCAAGCGTGGAGGGGGCCTATTTTTTGGCCCAATTTTTTTTATATATATCACACAAGGCCCAAATCTGGAGGCCCAATTCTAACCTAAACTAAACACTGAATCACTCGACCTCTCTCACTCTCTGAGCTCTCTCGGTCTCTCATTCCTGCTTTTTCAATCTCAAAAATCATCAACTCTCCAACTTCAATCTTCAAGCCGACGACGGAATGTGTTTACCGGAGTCCAGTATAGTCTCCCACTCTTCTTCTTCTTCCTTCCTTCAACCATTTTCCTTCGTTTTCTGGCTTTCCCCAATCATCAAGAACTTTCATCTTTCGTGTTTCGAGTTCTGTCCGCCACCACCCGCGACTGCGATTCACTCTTCAAGGCCATCAGCCATCGACCGAGCACTGCTTCCTGTTGGTAGTGGACCAGTACCATCTGGGTCTGCCGTCTGCGACTGTAAGTCTGTTACCAGTGCCGGTCCTGTGAGGCTTTTGTTTTGAGGCTTTTGTTATTTCAGTTTTCGTTTCATTATCTAATTTCAGTTTTGAGGCTTTTGTGATTTGTCTAATTTCAGTTTTGAGCTGCTTGTCTAATTTTAGTTTTGCATTGGGTTTCTAAGAATCTGCCATTTTGATTGTTGTGAATGATAGATTTTCTTGATTTCCAGTATTAACAAGCACAAATAGAGTTTGAGCTTTGCTTATTTTGCAGTGAGCTTTACATTAGCCAAATGAAGTCTAGCTCGAATAGCTTGATACTTCTCTATATAAAGATTATTATTAGCTTAAGATTGATAGATTGACTAACAATAAAATTTGTTCAAGCTTGGCTTGTTACCTAGGCAGCCATTTTTAGAAGACTAAAGTAGCTTGGCACATTTTTTAAGAGGGGAGAGAAGGATAGAGTTGTCCAATTCAATCAAATTCTACAGCAAGTTACGCTAAACAAAATCCATACCTCACCAAACAAAAGTATTAGTGTCACGGAGATTAGGACAACTCCCCGGCTGTAGTTAGACTGTCAAGAAAAATTGGAAGTGCCTGCAACCAGGGCAGGGCGATTAAAGTTATAAATCATCTCCGAAATAGTTTTAAGTACAACACTTCTATCATCAATACCTCCATTCGATTATGCCATTTCACTGTTGAGTCTTACTATAAGATAATAGCTTTCCAGTTTTCAGTTTCTGTGAATGATTGTGAATATGTCGTTTATATGTGAATGATTTGTGAACGATTCAATTTCAGGCTTGTGAGAACTAAGATGCAACGCTGGATGCTAGAATAGGCGTGATTTCACAATTTTCGTGGATTTTCTACTTTGCAAGTAAGTAATGGCTTGCACTAACTTGATATTGAAAATATTTGAAGCCTTGTCAGCTTATATAATTGTGGCATGTTCGGCTTGTATGAATGTTCATTTATAGTGTGTAGGATCAATTGCACAGGCGCACGTATTCACTGTATTGAATACTTTAATTGTGAGATAATTGAGATATTTTGTAATTGTCTTTTAGGCTAAGTATTGGGCATTAGATATTTGAATATACATCATGCCTCCTA